GACCTCTGTCGTGATTGGCGGAAGCTGCAAAGCTGGTCGTACCAGTCGCGGGTATTCAGAGTAGGTTTGCAAAATCTGAAGATACCCAGGCGATTTGGAAAACGGGACTGATTATCTGGGAGTCTGTAAGAACGCCTGAAACCCCTAGTTTAGTACGATCGTTTAAAAGTCTCTGGCGACCAGTATTAACAAGCAACCCAAAATGTCGGACGAAGTCGATACCGATAATTGCGAAGGGTAAAGACGCAACCATAAAGACCCACTGATAAACTCCGTAAAGATTGAGGTCCAGGTTCATCATGCGCTGACCGAATAAAACTATGGGAGAACCATTGGTTGCAAACAGGTTGTACGTGGGTTTTAAGTGCCTGTCGTTCGCCTTCGCAGGGATGACGCTGACTTCTGCTTCCTTGTCGATACGGAATGTGATGGATGAACGTCGATCCTTAACGTAAAACAGGTAATTTGTTTGGTTATTGACGGATTCCTTAGTCGAGTAAGTATGTGGGCTGTTCACTTTCCCTGAAACGGCTGAGTCATGCGTCATGCAGGGTGCCCGATAACGTCTAGCTCTTCCACCATGTTGGCGGTGATACCAATCTAACTCTTCGACGGATTTGGTTTCATCGGATAGAGAACGTGTAGATAAAATTCAGGCCTTTTGTCGGACAAGATGTACTCGGTGCAGGCACAGACGAACAGTAATGAAAAGTAACCAGAACGTGGTCAGCAGCTGACAATGACACCCGCTGCTTCAAAGGCTTCATTGCTGCTATCCTGCCGCGAACTAGCGCAATTTCCTCGTATTTAGAGTCAGCTCGGACTAACGACTGGGAACAAACATGAGATTCGGTTTTCATCGGTGAGAATACGTCACCGGAGCTAGTTGTCGTCTGCTGCGGAAACCGTTCGAACGCAGCTTCTGCCTTGGTAGCTAATTCTTTCAGGTGTGTATCTATAAACATGGACAGCATTACTGGCAATGGCTAGGGGAGAGGTGTAAACCCAAGTTCCTTTATCCCTTCTTCGTTTAAGAATAATGGAGGAGCGATGCGCCAAATTTCGCCGAGCAACGTCAACGGCTTGCGTTCTCCCAGCTTGAGAACAGTGAGCTGTTCAACTCGAACTCGTTTGCTGGGCAGGAAGTTTCTTAGAATCGCTTGTTTCCTTGTTTCATACTTTGCCTCATTCGATGGGCAGAGTAGAATGTTCTCAACCAGCGTCACAACAGAAGTATGAAGGTGTGGGACGAGCTGATGGTACCAAGGAAGGTCAGTCTGAATACCCTTATTTTCCAGTTGGATCTCGAATATCGCAAGGCAAACCACTGGGCTGTGTTCTGTGAAACAGAACAGCCGAAGTAAGCATGTTTACGCTGTGAAACGACAGATACCATATTCGAAATGTGAAGTGAAAAGACCAAGAGTGAACAAAAACACGATGAAACTTCTAAAAGTACGCCAGAAACAATTGAATACACGTATCTAATCGGGAAAAGAAACGAAGTCTACAAAAGTACAAACGACGAAAAACTTTCAAATTCGCGCGTGCTAGCTGGGGTCACCAATTTGTCCGAGACGGTGCGCGAAATTAAGCGCGGATATCAGAAGGCAATTGGAGTCGGACACAGCGGACTGTATTCGACGGGGTTCCAAGAAGACGCGGACAGATGAAGCGAGACAAGAGCAATGCGTTAGTGCGGGAACTAATAAGCCAAGCAAGCGACGAGCCGGTTGTAGGGAAGCGTAAAACGAGAAAGAATAATGTATAATTTGTCAACAATGCAGTAGTATATAAGCGATAGCAGTTATCCTTTTGGGCGCCACAACTTTCGCTGTTTCAGTTGCTTTCATATTTGTGCTTTGCAAGGTTTCTGCAGTCCATAACCAAAGTTCAGAAGGAAAGCTTTTCAGATTTCCCCATCATATATCCAAAAAATCCATTGCTGTTAGCTCTTTTTGAAATACTGGTTATAGTCTTCCGGGGCAGCATCCCCTATATTTTGAGGAGAGGGGTAGCATTTTGCGTGATCACGCCATAACATTATCCTAGGAAAGTTTTCACGAACAAATTACCGCTTTTCTAAATCATGATTACTGGCCTCTTTACAATCACTGGAAGGAAGCTATGGCGCATCACGGATGAGGATTGTTTGAAAGCGAGCTCACTTGCTATGTCATTCGGAGTTTCTTTTTGATTGTCCCACTTCCTAAAGTGTGTTAGGATAAATGTATATCTCATAGGACCCTTGTTGTAGCGCACTTACTGAGAGTAAGACGTTTTATACATCGGTTGGATCCTCTATTCTTGATCTAATAAGTCTAGATCTACCATAGTATACATAAATCGGGTGACGAACAACCCTTATCAGTTTTATGAGTTTACCTTTAACGCTCGTTAGAACACACAATGAGCCCCGTATCTCTTGGTCGTCGAACCACTTACCACACAATGTGGTGGGTTTTAACTCGAAGATCGTTTAGCAAATTACAGTCAGGGCACCGTTGTTAGATCCATTTTAGGTTAATCAGCTAAGTCGGGTGATGAATGCTCCTGACTTGCTGTCGATTGACCAATGTCCACTATTTGTCTCTCTATTCCGCACAGTGGTGATTGCAACAGTGGAGACCGCAAGGGCGGCGTCCCGGCTGACCTTTGAATCAGTCTCTGCATATATAACTGGTGTCCTGGTGTACTTTGGCTCGACAAACAACTTATGAGTAGAAGATGCAGAGAGGTGATGTCGGGCTGCTTTGTCCTCGTTAATGACAGATGTCAAGTCTAATAGGATTTGATTACCCAGACTTTTCGAGCAAGGTTGAATTTTCTTCGCCCAAAGGTACGGTCCTTTTGCACCGGGCATTCTGTCAAACTTGGAGGAGGAGAGGGCGCAAGGGACTTGGTTACATTTGTTCAGCGATGTCAGATTTTCTGGAATTCCGTTGCTTAGAGGCCACTACACGTAGCTGGTGCAGAATCGCTTCCAGTGAAGTAATCTACTGGTGCGTCTGCTGTTTGGATTCTGTTAGTTTTAGTTACAGAGGTCATACTAACCGTCGATGTGACTGCGCGGTCCGTGCGGTAAGTTACGCAAGCGTCTTGGCTGACCATGTCACAAGGAATGGTGAGTGACTGGGGTCTCGATCAATTCTGATCAAATGCTAGGCGAACTTCAATACCCCGCAAGAAGCGAGACAGCGACAGCATATGGTATTGAAGAAGAACAATTTATACTTAAATTAATTACCTTCTGGAAGCGCTTTCGAGCGAGTGTAAAAAATCCAAAATGTACTTGAAAATCAAGGTGTTTCTCGCTTGCATCTTAACAACAATCCGGTACAAATACCGACGTAAATCGTAAGTTGAAGCGATAGGAACAATCCAATAGTGTTGTCCGCCTTGTAAAGCTGATACATACGAGTCGAACGAATGTAATCACGATGAGGTGCTGCAAATTTGTTATGGATAATCCACAGAAAGGCAAGATCGATGGATCTGTACCATTGAAACGCAAGACGACTCCCAATGACACAAATGAAAGGTAATAGGCAGTGTTACTTCTAACGAAAATCGTGGAAGTTAATTAACCATGTGAAACCGACTTCCCAAAACCCGTGCATTAGAGCAACATACAAAGCAATGAAGTATGGAACTAGCGTCACCAAAGGTTGTGCACAACCATGAAGGTCTACTTATTCGTTCGCAGATCATTGCCTGTGACCTCTAACCCATAAGCAGACAATAAATCTAGTTATGGATGTTATGATTCGAGAGCTATGTGCACCGGCCACCTGAACTAAAAGTTAGATGAACACCTACATCTGCTCGCATAACTGTTGGCTGTCCGAGTGAGGTTGAACGCGGAGAATATCCGCATAACCTGTAAACACCCATCTGCCCTAGAACAAACCTGTCCTCTATGCGTAGGACTTTCTTTTTGCAACGCGGTTCAATCACCGCGTATTGGCTTAAATGCGCCAAACTTGTACGTTGAATTCCCACCCAGTCCAATAACGGACAACACCATACTTCACAACATTGCAAAACAACAGCTCCAGCGATGTTTCACTGTCACTCTCTATGAACTCATATTTTGCAACAAGCTGTCTCATTTAGCTAATTCTTTGTTTACTAGATTTCAGTTGAACTGATGATCTGCAATGCAGTTGAATGGAATCGACAAAATATTACGGTAACCTGTGCTTTGACTAAATTTTCGGTACATGTTCGCGCTGTGCTTTAGTCAGGTAGTGTTCACTACCAGCAGACAGGTGGTCCCATGGAATGTTTAAAATAGTACGCTTTTATCTTACTTCTGAAACAAACAGCTAAAATGTGAGACCTTAAGTGCTATGATGTCACAGATAGTCGACTAATAATAGTGGGAGATTTGTGCATTGAATTTATGATTCTTCGAAATCTGCATCTACATGGTGTGGAAGCGTCCAAAGTGCTTTTACTCTGGCTCATAAATATACCTTTTACCACCACTTTAGCAAATCAAACAGTGTCCTTCAAGAAAAAGATTAGGTAGCTCTGATTCCTAGCTTTCTTTGCCGCAGTCTCCTGCACTGAATTAACGAAAAATCATTAGCACGCAGTGTCACAGAATGGTTTTCGAATTTACTAAATTTATTTGGTGAAGCTGAATGTATGATAGAAATCCAACTATGCCGGAATCGCATCGAAGTGCGTATACAATTAACAGACACAACGTAGCCCCATAATGACCTACTCCACCGTCTCCTTCTTGCTAGCTCTTACCGCAGTTATCGATCTATTTCAAGTATCAAATTGTCTGGCATAACATTCAAGCCTAGGTCACAAGCTACGAGAGAGGATGACAAACGGCATCGATTAATGTATGCTTGTACGAACACGCGACTTTATCAAGTAGCTGTCAGCAGGAATGTGCAAACAAAGCTCTCGCCAATATTGTAATGGCACATCCCGTGATTAGTCATGAAACCACCGACACTCCGCTTGAACACAATTGGCGCCTGAGTTATACTAAAGTCAGTCACAGGAAAATGTAACATAATTCCGGAAATAAGCGCACTTTCCACATATCGTAGCAATGGCAACTAGTGGAGAGGATCCACTCAAAAACGCATTTCTTGCTTACTGCAGTGTTATTTCACATGATTCCACTAAGGGAAATTCGTCCACCATACGAAAAATGTGCACAGATACGGGAATAAACAAGACAAAAATGAAACAGAACGATGTAGATTTGGAATACACTCGGTGTTTCGGGACCAGTAAAGAGTAAGCACTCCAGTGTATTTAACAAAGCATTCACACTCCATGATATTCGTAAGCTAGTTGCATCTCTTCGAACGAATCTAATGCATTCAAAAATAGTGAAACTCTCATGAGGAACAAGTCAGTTATTTTTATGCTACCTCACCGCGTTGCATATTCATGCTTAGTACTCAAGATGAAAAGGGCCTGGTCATTGCAGGACCCCATAGGATAGGGAGTAGTCTGGGAAAATTATTGCGATTGTCTAGTTGTCTTTTACACGATCGAAGTAATTAGCATCTGAGATAATTTTTGTTTGGTGCTTAGCAATAGCTAGTCATTTAAGCGAAGCTGACAGACGCGGTGCATGTAGCTATGAGATTAAGCGGTCATTGCCGATGTAACCTGATCACACTTAGACAAACTATAGCGAATGATCACGGTTGATTCGGACAAGAAGGAAGTTTATACAACCTTGTCATGGATAACGAGGGATTGGATTGGCTGGAACGAACGCAGCGGACACAGCGGAAGTATAACCTATTCCATGCTAACGGCCTACCGGGAGAAGGTTAGCTGCAAATAAATAGTGCGAAAAACTTGAATCGGACATCACCCCGGCTAGGTGACCGTAACTGCGCTGAGCAAAACGACTAAGGAGAAATGAATTACCCAAGTATTGCTTAAGGCAGATATAGTAGCTGGGTCAGGAGTGTATTGCAGCGGGCAGAACGTCCAGATCATTGAACATAGCAGAGCGGCGGAGAACACTTAAATGAAAAGCGACCAAAATGAAGCATTTGCAACTATATAGCGCCCCGGTTATGAGTAGCATTTCGCTGCACCATCTCAGGTGACTTATTGTCCATGACCAAACAATATTATCTTATAGATTTCATTGCCGGTCCGCGTCCAAAGCAGTTTTCAAGTTTTCACGTAGTTTTTACAAGCGCCAACTTTCTTTTTATTTTCTATGGATTTACAATGTTGGTACAGTTTCGGAAACATATATCTCAGTGACTCAAGCGACGGAAATACACTTTTGCTGACACATGTAACGCTTTAGCTTTGGCATCAGTATTACTCCATTGTTCCATTTTTATACTGCTTTGCTTTGTGAATAACTGTTTTTGATCACTGTACAGACTTCTTTTGACACATGGAGAGCTACACGACAGTTCGGGCTGATTCGAAAAGGGCATAAGTCGGATCAATGGGATAGAGCAACGTGTATCTGATTTGTTCAGCAGTTTGGAGTACGTTTGAATAACGCGATCTTTTCTCTTAAGGCTCAAGGCACAGGTGAATGGCAACATCCGTTTGGGTAGCCACCAGACTGACCGATTGTGCTGTACTCAGGACTTCAAAGTGAATTACAACATGCACAGAAGTTTGTAAGCTCGTCCTATTAACATTACCGGCTTTTCTGAAAGGATCTCCTTTTGGTGGAACGGATCATCGGGTGCCCAAAGCGCCTTTCAAAAATCTTTCTAAGCTTTGCCATAAAGCTAATCTGAGAGAGACACCCGCTTAATTTTAAAACCTAGTTAACTCGTTTGCCTCTTATCGACTATCTATCTCTCGCACTGGCTGGCTTGTCGAACTACCTCTTTGTGGTGCCAGCTAGGTGGATCGGATTTTCCCCGTTCCAGCAGAGGTGGTGGGTTTTCGCCTGGCAAGCATTCTCCCTATGAAAAGACGCAAATATCCGTTTAACTGCACGGTAACTTGGCGAATGTGACTAGCAACTAAATAAAGTCACCGCCCCTTGTTTTAGTTCATCAAAGCATTTTAATTCTTCTGATGAAGTCTGAGTCTCTCTCTAGGTTAACTCTCTACCTCTGCGGGGAGATCGGGTAGTATCACACGCGCTGAGAAAAACTATGGGTTTACCTTCCTTTCAAGCTTCCGTTCCCGCTGCTTTTATCGTTCATCTACCTCCATCACACGCCAACACTATATTTGTTGTCAATACGACATCCGTTGATTCTGCTTCTGATCCCGGTTTTACCGACACCCGGAAGCTTAATCGACAGCCACGCTTCAACTTCGCATGATGTTCCGATTGGACTGCTTCAACGTACGAACGCTTATGCAGATTGGTCAACACGTAGGCCTGGCGCGTACCCTCAAGTCTCTTGTCATTGACGTTTGCTGAGTTTCCGAAACCCGGTTGCAGGATCCCAGCAGCGTACTCAGGATGACGTTCCCATCTGATCGCGGAACCGTATACCAACTACGTCTATGCACTGACGCAGAAGCAGTTGCAACAGTTTTGGCTGGCGTTGGGGTGGCACCAAATAAGAAAGCCGAAGCCGCGTTGATCGTGTGGTTCCCAGTTAGCAGTCGGCTATAAACAGTTCGGTTTCAGGGGTCAAGTCGTATCAACGGAAATCGCAAAGAAACATGTAACTTGTTTGTCCTATCTGCCTACGCGACAACTGACTGCAGCTGCGACTTTCTTAAGGACGATTTTTACCTCACACTTCACCCACATTTGAGTAAAGTGGGCAAGTCAAATGTTGTTGTACTTGCTGTTGGTTTTACTGCACTGGTCGGTCGCCAGTTTCCATAAAAAAGCTACCTTGGATGAAAGCACGCTCTTAACGAGAGACCGGCTTCTCACTTTGTGCGGCACCAACCACCTGTTTCGCTCCAGCACCAATTTCAGGTATAACAAGAGACCTCCTGAAACCTGACCGTCCCCGTCATCGACACAGTTCTGGTCCCAGATGGAACACATCGCAAGCAGTTTCCGTTGGCAAGGTAGTATACCAGCCTGCATGTCATTCTGGCCAACCTACCCTGACTAAGATCATGCACTGGTTTATGCGAAAATCTACATGCGCTTCGATGTGCCCCGGAAAATACTGCACTGTATGATTGACACAAACAGATTTGTTGACCCCTCTGTCCATTTGAGCTATCAAATGCATTATCGGCTGCTCCCCCTGTAGTCCACCCCAGGATATTAAGCAACATTGAGCTTATTTGCACGAAGCGATACTTTCCTCTGGTCAATCTCCTTGTGGCCTCACCCAACACCATTTGACAAGTTGTATCTCCTCTCGCTGGCTAGAACTGTTTTACCGCCGGCGAAATATGCCGCCAGAGTCAGCTCATACCTCAGTGCGATAGACTCCCAATCGACAAATCAAACCAAGGTTGCCTAATGACCGCGAGAACTGGTAGTCTCAGCGCACCTCGAAGATGGAGATTGCTGCTTGCTCCTGCAATTTCTTCAAGCTCTTACAGCTCAGACGTTTCACCGGCCCTAGATGGCCTGGTGTCAGCAAGACTATCTGTGAAACGGATTGGTCACGAACCACTAAGTTGCGCAGATGCAGATATCGTTGGGCCAAACATTTTCAATTCAATTTCCGTCCATCGTCCGCTTGTATGCCAAGTAAAACAAGTTGCATGCCATGGATCATTTTACTGGATCCACTTAAAGAAACGGAGATTGTCGTCGAGATTCGACACCTCAAGCGATTCAAGTCTCCTAGCTCCGACAATCTTCCTCCAAAGAGGTTCAAGTCTGGTGGCCCAGCACTGGTCAAAGCAGTTGACATCGCTGTTTTCCAAGCTACGGAAAGAAGAAAGGATTCCATCCTCCCGGCGTGAATCAGTAACTGTCCCTAATTTCAAGAAAGTAGCTCCAGATTCTGTGCTAACCCTTGGGGTACCAGTCCCATGCTGGTTGCTTCCAAACTGCGGACCTCCATTCTGCTTCGCAGACCATCCCCGACACACCAATCCTCTTACCGAGAAGAACAAGCTAGCTTCCGTCCCAGACGAGGATGCGTGCACCAGGCATTCACAGTACGCTATATCTTTGAAAACCACCATCTCCATCACAGGGTAACCTTTGTCGTTTCCCTTGATATTTGAGCTGCATTTGACTCAGTTGATCGGTCTGTTTTATGGTACTGATTCTTAAGGAATGGAGCCCACAAAAAGTACACTTTCCTTATACAGGCGCCTTAGGCCCAAGAGTCAGGTAGAGGGAGGGTCTATGGCAACCTTTCCTCACACGTCGCTGTCTCTAGTGGTGTGCAACAAGGGTGCCTATTGTCTCCATTCCTCTTCAAATTCGCAGTTGTAGACGTCCTGTTGAGGTCCCTTGGAGTTGAGCTTATTCCTGGTAATCGCGTTATCGATTTAGCGTATTCTGATAATATCGCTAAACTCCGTGACGATTCACTGTGTACAAATCTTTTGTACCGTCTGGCTATTTAACAGTCTAAGCATACTATGCGCTTTTCCTTCTTGAAATGTAGTGTTGCACCCGAACTGAAAATCTTCTGCTCCCTCATTTACCCGTGAAGGGACACAACTAGTGCTTGTGAACAACGCTGTCTACCTCGGAAGCTGTATTACCAAGGATGACACTATTGAGATTGTGGCATCCCTTTACATCGCCAAAGCCCGGTCGGTATTTACCAACCTGAGTCATTTGTGGCATCTTTGGGACATCTCCCCCTAAATTAAGTTGTGGATCTACAACACTTTTGTCCTTGCGGACCTGTTCTACGGAAGGGAGTCTTGGCCGATTCCTGTGGATGACATGCCTAGGCTTACGGCCATCGACAATACATGTTTGCGGCGGATAGTCCGTGTGTGATGGAAGCACCGTGTTCTCAACGATGAAGTTCGGTGTCACGTCGTGCGCAACGAGCCTTCCGTTTGATCGCCTTGTCGCAAAGAGTCAGTAGAGGTTGCTTGGCCACTTTCAACATATGTCACTGGAGCCTTTAGCACGGGATTGAATCGGAAGTGAAGGTGTGGAGGTCAGCCATCCATTTAGTGGCAAACCACGAAAATCGCTGAGCTCCCGTCTCGCCATTGTCGTCCCCGTACATCTTCCTGGTTGGGTGCCCAAGGAGGTGGAGTGCCAACGGTTCAACAAACTTGGAAATACGGCGCAAAGCCGGAATCAATGTAAGGACTGTTTGTTGCGATGTTTTGAACAATGTGATTGGGGCATTATCATTCAAAACGCCAAAAAATCAAAATGGTGTGTG